CTCCTTCTCCTCCTGCTGCTGCTGCTGCTGCTGCTACTGCTACTGCTACCGCTGCTACTGCGGCTGCTACTGCTGCTGCTGGTCCTTCTGCTGGCATTAGCAGGCGTGGAAGCAAGCACTTCTGAATTGCGCAGCCACCCGTTGTCGAATATCGAATCGAGCATCAACTGCAAGTGATGGATCGCCCGAAGACTCGGCCTGCCTGGGGAGCTGCTACTTCTGGAGCTGAACCCTGCACCGTGTTTCGGGCCCTGAGCAAAGGTCTCTGCAATCCTGGACGCGCGGCAGGTGCTGGCACAAGACTTGCACCCCATCGATTACATTCGTTCTCTGCATGCACTGCTCGCTCACTCCAGGGAGTAGGACCCTCTGGAAGAAAGGCCCCCAAAAAAGCAATGGGATCCTTATCGTCAAGACCTTACTCCCGCCCAGATCCCTTCCGCAGCCGTGGCTTTTGGCACCTGGGATCCTTCAAAGAGTTCGCAGGTGCTTGGATCGGCCAGCAACTTCCAGGACTGCCATTAAACCCTACAAGTAAGACTATCTGGACTATCTGCGGTGCTGACAGACGCCAGTTCAGAGCAGTACTGCGCTTCTAGCTCGTCTTCCAACAGGAGTTCAAGGTTTCGTGTGTCCTAATCTGTTTGTGTGTGCAAGGTGTCTATATCCTTGCAGTGTTTCAGTTCATTCAGCGCAGGGCAAGCGATTGCCAGCTGTGGAGCTCAGGAGATTTTTAGCCATCTCCTGATCGACCACGACTTGCTGTGCCAAGAGGGAGAGGAGCTCATGCTTGAGCCAGTCAGCCGATCCTGACGGATCCTTTGTAGAATCGCACCAGCGGTTCCATGAAGACTTTTCTCAAAACTACTGGCACAAGAAATGCTCATGCTCGTACACGTACTGCTGCTCATGTTGGTCATCATCTTCTAGTGCCGCGACTGCTACTACGACTACGACTTCGACTACTACTACGACTACTACTACTACTACTACTACTACTACTACTACGACGACCACTACTGCTATGACGACGACGATGACGACGACTGCACTGCGTCAGTCGCCTGTGCCTGACTCCACCATCACCACCAGCATCAGCGCGTCCACAGCTCTGCGGGCTTCTCCGTTGCCTTCCGGCTTACAGTCAGAAGCGCTTGACCCGACCCTTGTGAGCGGCACCATGGGCCTCGGACTCAGCTGCAATCCTTATAGCCTCATGTCGTGGAAGTGAATCTGCCCTACCTGGTTGCCTTGCACAGAAGAGTTTTTACGGAGGCGTGCTTGAGGTGTTAGTTGCTGCCGAGCCCAGATGTAGGACATGTAGGGATCTGTGGGCCGCCATAGACGAATTGCATGGACGGAGCTATAGCTTCATTCTGTGCAGCGTATCCTCATGTTAGCAGTCTCTTCCCGAGGTCAAGAGTGGTCTCTCACAGAGGCTTGCTTGAACAGTGAGGCAGGCTTTGGCGCTCTTGGCGGTGCCGTGGTGCTTTCACTGCAGACTGGGATGCCAGGCCCATGCTGTCGTGACGAAGCCGGAAGATGAACGAGCAGCCGTGACGGTGCCGATCGACATCGAGGAAAAGGTTGATAAATCACCCAAGGCAGCTTGCCGGCAGCTGAATAAAGCGAGAAGCAGCCACTGTCTGCGACATGATTCTGGAGGGTGCCCAGGTCATTTTGGTCTGCACTTGGGGTTCGCATGTGAGGTTTCACGCAGACGCCCCATTAATCCGACGCTTCTGGCATGGGTCTGAGCTCCCGACTGTCGCACGGAAAAGCGTGTGTTGTGTGGCAACCGTGCTGCATATCAGCATGCTGCTGCAGGTTGGTGGTGAAGGGGAAGACAACCGGAGCTTGCGGAAAAGGCAGGGATGTCGGGGTGTATGCTGGTGCATTGGGGCTCGGGCTTGCGCTGCTTTTGCTGAGAACAGCGAAGAGTGCCGTGGCTGCCGGCACAGGAGTCCGCCAAGGAACCGCTCAAAGACTGACCCCGAGCTCATTATCATCAGCATGGCTATGTCGCGGCGACCTTGGCACAACAGTCACCTCATGAAGTCGAAGTCAAACTCTAAAGTGGGCAGCCTCTGGGTTTGTGACTGATTCCAAACAGGGTTTCGCAGCAAGAGTTGGCTGGGCTGGCAAAAGCTGAAGGTTCACATGAAGGACGTTCAGTCCTACACAGTGTCGGCCTGAACAGTCATGCAATGCGCAGGCGCTCAAACAGCCGTGACACAAAATCTGCTTGCTGAGGCTGGCATCGTTGAAGGAACCCTGCTGTCTACATGCAAAATACTGCATCAGTTTGCGGCAGCACCTTCTTTCGGTCCATGTTCGGGCGAGAGATTTCTGAAGGATGGAGGGCGGGACCTTTACAATTGTAGCGGTCAGGGTGAGTTCTCTGGCATGCCTGTTTGCAGCCGGGAAGAAGTCATCGCTCCGTGGAATCCCTGGTCTGGATTTTTGAGCCAGCCGTGTTGCATTGCCAAGCTGGATCGACAATATGATTCAGCAATTCGTCACAAGCATGCCTGTGCGTCGTGCGGACTGCAGTTTGGTACGTAACTCTTGAAGATAATTTTGAAGCTTTACATGCAGAACTCTCAGATGTATTGCACGGATGTAGCATCGATCATATCAGCATTGATAGCTCGCAGCCTAGACCCTTACACCCAGAAGTAGATCCTTTCGCCGGCCGGACTTGTTGCCGTGCGGACGAGTCCTCATACCTACGTACGTGCGTATTTCTGTGCACGCATACATGCATACATACATACATACATACATACATACATACATACACACCTTACACACATCTGCCTGCTTGCAAGCGTAAGGGCCCAGACATGTCAGTGTGTTGAAACATGTATGTATATTTGCATATTATATATAGATATACGTATCTACAGACACACAGACACATCGACACACAGACACACAGAGACATAGAGACACAGGGACACAGAGACACACAGAGACACAAAGACACACAGAGAGACAGACACACAGACACACAGACACACAGACACACGGACACAGAAGCAGACGCAGACACAGACACAGACGCAGACACACACACACACGCACAGACACACAGACACACAGACACACAGACACACACACACACACACACGCACACACGCACACACGCACACACACACACAGAGAGACACACACACACACAGACACACACACACACACAGAGAGACACGCACACAGAGAGAGAGACACACACACACACACAGAGACACACACACACAGAGACACACACACACACACCCAC